TGTGTGTGTGTGTGGTGTATGTGTGTATGTATGTATATAGGAGTTGTGGCACTGTAGGATAATGCACTGGACCATAAGGTCAGTTTGAACCACAAGGTGGGCAGGAACTACAAGATCAGAGGTTCAAACCCACCAGCTGCTCCTCGGAAACCCTATACAGGGTCACTATGTGTTGGAACTGACTCAACAGCACTTAACAATAGCAACTATATATGTATATATATGGAGCTCCAGTTGCGTAGTGGTTACGAATAGGGCTGCAAGCAGCAAGGTCAGCAGTTCGAAACTACCAGCTGTTCCGCGGGAGAAAGATGAGGCTTTCTGGTCCTGTAAAGATTTACAGCCTCGGAAACCCTGTACAGGGTCGCTATGAGTCGGAACCAACTCCACGGCACATAACAATAACAGTATATATATATATATACCACACACATAAGTGGATATATATTTTTGTTGTTGTTGTTTATTGTTTTGAGGAGGTAGGAGTAGGGAATTAGGGTTAGGACTATGACTATGACTAGGTCTAGGCATAGGGTCGCTATGGGTTGGAAAGGACTCAATGGCTTAACAACAGCAATTCAACATTAAAAAGATACAACTACTTTTTTTTTTTTAGGTTTTTATTGTGAATTGAGTGAAAGCTGGATGCTTCACTCTCAGCTCTAGCCCTCTGTGACTATGTCCTTGTCCATGGGCTCAGGTCTCCCCAGGTCTCACCACACTTTGCACCAACCAGCCCTTCCTCTTCTCTCTCTCATCTCCAGATCAACAGGAGTTTATGGAACATGGTTGAACTCAGCCCCATTTCTTCATTGCTGACTTTCCTCCTCTTCCACTCACCAGTAGATCAATGTGGTCACCAGCAAGCTTACATGCCTGCTCATGTGTTCCCTTTGAGTTTCAGTCTTGGAGGGGGCTTTGTCCTGAAGGGACTTGAGTGCTTGCCTTGATAACATCCCGGTGAACAACTTGCTCATTCTTGTAGTAGCCAATGATACACAAAACAAACCAAACAAAAACCCAGTTTGCTGTCCAGCCAACACAGACTCATGGCCACCCCATATGTGTCAGAGTAGAACTGTGCTTACACAGGACAAAGGCTGAGTTTTCTGATGCTCAATGTCAGTCCATTGTTTTGATGTGCCTTTTGGTAGACTGAAACCTTCGACCTTTTGACTATAAGCTGAAAGCATTAATTATTTAGAATGGTGGTGGTGGTGGTGTGCCGTGGAGTTGGTTCCTACTCATAGGGATCCTGTATAGGGTTTCTCAGGATGTAAATCTTTATGGGAGCAGAAAACCTCATCTTTCTCTGCGGAACGACTGGTAGTTTCAAACTGCGGACCGTGTGATTAGCAGCCCACCTTGTATCTATCTACCTCACTACCAAAGCTCCTTAATTATTTTGAGTTGTTGTTGTTGTTGTTGTTATGTGCTGTGGACTCAGTTCCGACTCATAGCAACACTGTACAGGGTTTCCGAGTCTGTAAATCTTTATGGGAGCAGAAAGCCTCATCTTTCTCCCGCGGAACAGCTGGTAGTTTCGAACTGCTGACTATGAGATTAGCAGACCGATTCATAACCACTGTGCTACCAGAGCTCCTTAATTATTTTGAATATTCAGGGATTGTTTAATCTACTCTAAAGACAACACAAAACAAAAACTATGCAGTGCCCGGAGGCTGGAAAGCCTATGATTAAATTTGACTGCTGCCAGAAATATATCTATGGCTTCAGTGTGCTGGAGCACTGTGAGTTGATTCTGAATCATAGTGACCCCTATAGGACACAGCAGTACTGCATTTTAGGGTTTTGAAGGCTGTAAACCTTTATGGAAGCAAACAACCTCAGCTTTCTCCCTTAGTGGCTGGAGAGTTTGAACTGTCAACTTTGTGGTTAGTCTAACCACCAGGGTGCATCCTTGTTGTTAAGTGCCATCGAGTCGGTTCTAACTCATAGTGACCATGTATAGGGTTTCTGAGGAATGGCTGGAGAGTTTGAACCACCTACCTTGCTTGCGGTTCAAACCGACCGAACTTGTAGTCCTGTGCTTATCCTACAGTGCCACACCAGGAATGTACAAATAAAAATTAGCCTCCGTCTCTGAGGAGCTCACAGGCTAATTATATAACAGATCTCTGGTAGAAATATAAATCCAGTGTTTCCAGCCCAGGGGACCCATGGAAGAAGCTGAGGAAGATATCTTATAACAGCAAAGCAAGACTTTAAAGGATCAGTAGGAACTCGCTGTCATCTGTTGTTGTTGTTGAGTCGGTTCCGACCCATAGTGACCCTGTATAGGGTTTCCGAGGAGTGGCTGGTGAGCTTGAACCATCAACCTTGCAGTAAAACAGCTTTGCATTCTGGCACATTAACACACAGCGCCACACCAGGACTTTTGTGTTGCAAGACACAAAAGGGCCAGAAGGAAATGGTGTCAGGTAGCACAAATGAAAACTAGCTCTTTAAGAAGCCACTTTGTGGGTTGTCCTGGCTCCTGGCTAATCCTACCTGGTTTGGTTTCTGAAGCTGTCAATCAGCATGACATCATTCAAGATTGGGTTACCTGGGCTGCCTGCATTTCCCCAGGTTCATAAGGAGGAAGGGCAAGTCTTGCTACACCTCCCAGTCAGCCCCTAGGGCTAGAACTATGCAGTGCCCCGAGGCTGGAAAGCCTATAATTAAATTCAACCACTGCCAGAAATACATCTACGGCTTCAGTGCACCAGAGTGCTGCCCTCTCTGTGGGCAGGACATGGGCTGGAGGGAGCTGGAAGACGCTCCTGTCAGCATCTCTAAGCCCTTTACCAATGCTCATCAAGAAAAATGTTCCTTCCTCCTCAAACCAACACAGGGGACCTTTCTTAGGTACAGTGTTTTCTTACTTTTATTTTTCTAAGTGTTACATTGAATTGTGCAAACATCTTCACCTATGTCTTTAGTCACGAAAGCTTTTTTCTATCGTGTACGATAAAGTGTGAGGTTTGTGAACGGGTTGCTCAATTCTTTTGACCTTGCATCCTGCCTACTTGTTTCATAAAAATGAATGAGGGCATATTCTGTTTTGGAATGAGAAGTATAAGATATACGAAGAATATGGGTAAACTGGCTTCTACAATTTTAAGAAAGAAAAATGAATAATATGGAGATATTTTCTACCTTGTAGATTTTGTACTGAAGCTAACAGAAAATGATCCAACCACCAATCATATGCAAATGATCTTTTGTAATTTCTTCTTCAAGCAGGTACAATGCACAAAGACTAAAGAGTGTTTTGTGTGGAGGGGGATTAAATTGGAGATCATCCTGATCGATTTCAGCTGTAGACACCACCTAGCTTCATTAGGAAAGATTTCAGAAATCAAAAGAAAAAAATCATGCCTCCGTATTACAGAGAGTCCCTGGGTGATCCAAAAGTTAGCATGCTCAACTGCTAAACAAATGTTGGAGGCTGGAGTTCCATCCAGAGGCTCTTGGAAGAAAAGTCTGGTAATCTACTTCTGAAAAATCAGCCACTGAAAATGCTAGGAGCATAGTTCTACTCTGACACACACAGTTTTGCTCTAATACTCACTATGAGTTGGAGTCCGCTGGACAGCAACTGGCTGGTTTGGAATTCACAAATGGAATTGGGACCGGCCCCATTTAAGCCAGTTTTTAAAAGAGCATGGAGGTGTATGGGGGGTGGGGGGTGGGGGGAGTGTGGGGCAGGGCTAAGTCATGCTTTATGAAGCATGTTCTTGTGTATCAATACTGTCTAATGCAGAAATCCTCTTTGTCTCCTTAAAATCCACTCCTAACCCTCCCTACCACACAGCTTCAACAGTAGGAACCCAAGAACTAGGGTCCTCAGATCCCTGTTTGCAAACCTGAATTAATTGCCTTGGAGTGTCCCTGTAAAGATGAAAATGAAGTGACAGAAAGTCCCAAGACTATTTGGTGACAAGCAAACTTCCCTCTGACCTGTCCTGGGGAGGCAGCAGGGTACAGAGAAGACAAGGCCAGCTTTGGCACCACAAGGCCTTCTGTTCCTACCCTGGTGCTTCTGCTAATAGCTCTCTGCATCTCTGGGGCCACTGACCTTGCCAAGTTGTGAGGGTTCGCAGGAAGGGGTGCAAACCTGGCCTAGGATCATCTATGCTGTCCTTTCTGTTCTATTCTGTTCATATTCAGTTCAGATCATAATTCCTCAGCCTAGAAGAACCTTCAGGTCCATCTTTGTCAAATCATGAAACTCAGAGTGTGTTTTAAGAGTGCCTCATGTGTGCTAATGCTTTTGAATGACTTGGTTAAAAATTGGAATTCGTTTTCTATGAATTTGGTTTGTTCACCCTGCAGGTTTGTGTGAGAAATGCCACAGTGAACAAGCCACAGCCCTGTTCTCAAGAAACAGACAGCATTATATTTATATTCTCAAGATGTGGTGGAGCTATTTCCTGCTCTTCATTCTGCATCTGGGAATAGAGCATAGGTAAAGGGAGGTTGGCCGTGGTATAGCAGGTCATGCAATTTGGCCTTCGTCGTGGTTAGGAATCGGGCTGTGAACTGCAAGGTTAGCTGTTCAAAACTACCGGCTGTTCTGCCAGAAAAAGATGAGGCGTCCTGCTCCCATAAAGATTTACAGCCTCGGAAAGCCTCTACAGGGTCGCTATGAGTCAGAACCAACTCCACGGCACATAACAACAACAATAACCCCTCAGGTGCTCAAATCAGAGGCAGCAGGACCCTGCTAAGCCTCCAAGTCCTAAGCTATTTTCCTTTCTCTCATCTACCATTCCAAACCCACAGTACAGCCAAGAAAACAAATGGAAAGGTCGAAGTCCACTCTGAGTTGTGAACACTGAAAAGGCACTTCAAGATAAGTCCACTGATGTTGTAAAAGAGAACCAGTTGTGATCCAAAGGCAACACTGACTCTGAACTCATTAGGTTAGGATCCCTCAGGGCTGTCACATCTGGTTGTGCTGGTTGTGGACTGCACAAAGGCCACCAACTGGTGGGTGCTGCTCCCGGCTCCCTAAGCCAAGAACCCTGTGGAGAGCTGCATCTTGTCTTAATCTGTAGCCAGGTGCCACACAGACGAGCCCTGCCCCTGTCCCTACCATGGGCTTCTGTAACATTCTACATTTAAACCTGTGTAAGGTAGAAGCCTGTCAAAGAAGGAAAAATGCAAATATTTCTCACTAACAGAGTAGCACTATAGGATAACCACCACCACCATTAGGTCTGTTTGAACTGCAAGGTGGGTGGTTCAAACTCTTCAGCCGCTTCTCGGAAACCCTATACCAGGTTGCTATGAGCTGAAACTGACTTGACCAGCACTTCACAACAATAACAGTAGAAAGCAACAGAAAACTGGTGACTGCTCCCTGCCAAGGGAGGAAAGCTTGTGAGAGCTGGAGAAATAAGGCAGTCCATCAAGCTCCGGCTCACCCAGGTCCGCTGTAAATCTTTTCCTCATCACAACACAGAGCAAGCTGTTGGAAATGTCTTCTCTGGAGGCGAGTAAATTAGGTGAGGGCAGAGACCTCATCTTATCCCCTAGTCATTCACTTAACAAAACAACAGGCAATAAGATGTTGTGTGAATGTTGTTGTTGTTGTTGTTATGTGCCATGGAGTCGGTAGTATGAATGGGGCATACTGAAGAACTGGAGGGCATGTGGGCCTGGGAGTCAGTGCACAGGATAGAACACACACAACGTGAACAGTAGACAGGATTTCTCTTCTTCCTCAGCTTCATTCTCAACATCTGGACACAGGGGGCCTCCAAGAGCTCTGAGTTGGCTGCAACACAATGGCCTGGGGCTCCCACACTGACAAAGATGGGCAGCCATCTGTGTCCAGGGTCCTGTTTGTTTAAAACTCAGCACTGCTTGTTTTGATGATGTAGCTGTGTTCACTGTGCCGAATACATAATTATAATCTTTATCACATAAAAAAAACAACAACTGTCAACTCATGGTGACCCCAAGTGTGTCAGAGTAGAACTGTCCTCCATAGGGTTTTCAATGGCTAGATTTTTTAAAAAAGTAGATCGCCAGGCCTCTCTTCTGAGGCACTTCTGGGTATGAACCAGGGACAATTTTTAAATGACCTTTGGTTTATTGGGCATCTGTCTGTGGCAGGCAGTCTCCAGGCATTTCATGATTAGAACCAGCTTGCTAGGACTCATACTAGTCCCATTTTACAGATGAAGAAACTGAGATCAGAATGAATAAACGACTCTCCCAGTATCTCAGGGCTAGTAGGTGATGATCTGGGGTTGGGTATAAAAATTAAATGACACTGAGTTCTATATTTAAGAAAGTTTTGCTGGTGGTGGTGTTTATGTGCCTTGGAGTCGGTTCCGACTCACGGCGACCCTGTACAGGGTTTCTGAGGCTGTAAATCTTTTCGGGAGCAGAAAGCCTCATCTTTCTCCCATGGAACAGCTGGTAGTTAACTCTGAGGTTAGCAGCCCGATTCGTAACCATTATGCTACCAGAGCTCCTTAAGGAAGTTTTGAGTAAAGACTAATTTCAGGAAATGGTCTGTACAGTAAAATTGGGTGTGGCCATAGATGGCAGCAACCTAATGGGCTGTTTTCATTTTTGATGCTGAGGTCTGTTGAGATATATTCATACTTGCAGGAGTAATCTGCACAAGGGGGTTCTCCAGAGGCGGACAGGGAATGAAAGCGACAGGGGACTCGAGATGGTCAGTCAAGAGCGACTTTATTAACTACACTGCAGCTTTAAGTACAGTCTTAGGCAGGAGGCGTTTTCAGACACCACGACAAAGCTAAGGTTTGTTATTACTAGATAACAGTTAGGCGCACATATTTACTCCTCATTTTAGATTACTCCCCCAGCCACCTGGTCAGTATGTTCATTCCCATAATCTTTGGCATGCAAGGTTTTCTTTAGGGTTCTCATCAAGGCATTCCTTGGTTTGAGAACTGCCTCAGAGTGGGTTTCACACACGTCCTACACATATTGGAGTCCTGGTGTGGTGCTGCAGGACAATACACTGGACCACAGGGTCAGTTTGAACCACAAGGTCAGCGGTTCAAACCTACCAGCTGCTCCTTGGAAACCCTATACAGGGTTGGAACTGACTTGATAGCACTGAACAAAATAACAACAACATCATCCATAGTAGCTTTGAAGGCCAAGCTCCAAGCTGCAACAAGGAGTCTGTCCAGCTGCTGACCACAGGGTGGCCCGTGTTCTGTGGGGACAGATGTTATGCTGAATGTCTGTTCTAGCTGGGCTGACCTTTAGTATTATGCTAAATACATGCAAAAGGGAAAACAATACTTGTTTTTTTTCTTTCTTCAGGGAATATGATGGAAAGTCTGATCTTCATGTCGGAATAACCAACACAAAAGGTGAGTCCATTTTTATAGTTTTTTTGTGTGTTTTTTTAGCAAAAAAAACAAGCAAACCAAAAAAACCCAGTTGGCCCAGTGATAGGAAAACCGAATTTCTAGAGAAAATGTGGTCATGGCAGTGTCAACCCTGTGTTCAACCACTTCTTCTGAGGTAGGGCATCACTGCCCCCCAATGAGAAATACCTGACTGGACAGCAAGTTACTTCTACTAACAAACAGTACTAACAGTACTAAATAGCTGAAAACTCATGTTTTCTCAATCAAGATCCTTACAAACCTATTAAGTTTTTGTTTGCTTTTACGAGAGGATGAAACACATGTCCAGAGGATTTGACTTGATCAAGACCTCATCTTGTGCCCAAACCCAAATCCAGGCCCTCTGATGCCCCTGACCTGCACACCGCCCCTGTGGCTGGGTCCTCTCATTCCTGGCTTCAGGAGTAAAACAGGGAGATTCCATCGTGCGATGTGGTGGACCTGCAGTAGTCTGTCTAAAACCAAGAATAAGCAAGGGAAGATGAAGTCATAATTCCCAGGTGTGCCATAGGAGTGAGGTGCTCAGACCCAGGAAGGTTCATTCTGGGTATGGCCTTTCCTTCTCCTGAAAGCAAGAGAAACTGACTCTGTGAACAGAAACCTAGAATTGGTTTTTCAAACTCAGATTCACCCCTTTGAGCAAGCCAATTTAACATCAATCTTTATCAGGGGAAATTTATTGCTAATTCAAGGAAACTTGCTAGACGGAATTGTAAACAGAGAATTTCAACAAAAATATTTGGAGATGATTATCCTGGCGCCTAGCATGGTCTCAACTTCTGGGGTGGAGTGGGGGTGGGGGTGGGGGCAGGAACTTCAGAACATGTGGAACAGCAGGTAGAGCCAGACCTGACATGAAATGTTTGCTGAGAGCAGGCTCAGTACCACTGCCCTCCCCCAACCCCCTCCATTCCAGGTGAGATTGCATCTAAATTTCATGGTTGCCTTTAGTACTTAATGATCTCCAAGGAAGGTGATTCTTAGACACTCTTGTGGGCCCATTGCTCTCTGGCATAATGTCACAGTGCAACCTGGGTTAACATTATGTAAATTTACCAAGGTGGCTCCTATTGTTTTCTGAAGTCTCTTTGGAACAGAAGTTCATTTGTCCTTTCACTTTTGGATGACTTTGGTTTTGGTTTGTAGGAGTTGTGTATAATTACAATGTGCAAGGTGTCCATCGTGATGTAGCAGGATGGGAACAGAGTATAAGCATCCCATTATTGCAGCCCAACATGTATGGACTGATGGACCAATGGGACAGGTACCTGGAGGACTTCTCAAACTCAGGGATCTGGCTGCCTCACAGGTACGTGACTCCCAAGAACACCATTCACTGCCGTCATTCACAAGATGGTTGTGCCAGGACTCAAAGCTGTGTCTGGCTTCATGTTGAGTCCATGGTGAGATGTTAACTCCTGTAACAGAATTTATATGGGGTGGATTGATTGACTTTTCTGTGGAAAAGAGTCCACATAAATTTACACAACAAAATCATGGTATTCTAAGAGTTGCAGAAGCAGAAACTTTTAATTCATTTAATTATTTGATTTCTTGTTGTTGTTCAGTGCCATTGAGTCGATTCTGACTCACAGCAACTCTATGTAGGGTTTCTGAGGAGTGGCTGGTGGGTTTGAACTGCTGAGCCTTTGGTTATCAGTATAGTTTTATTCTACAGCGCCACACCAGGACTCTGTTGTTGCTAGATGCCATCAAATCAGTTCCTACTGATAGATGGTGATATATATAACAGGAGGAAATCCTGCCTAGTCCTGCGCCATCCTCACAATTGTTGTCATGTTTGAATCCATGATGTCAGTCCAGCTTGTTGAGGGTTTTCCCTTTGTTTGCCAACCCTGCAGTTACCAAGCATGATGCCCTTTTTCAGGGACTGAACCTTCCTAATATGTCCAAAGTATGTGAGACGACATCTTGCCATCCTTACTTCTAAGGAGCATTCTGGCTGCACTTCTTCCAACACAGATATAGTCAGTATTCTTCATCAACACCATAATTCAAATGCATCTATTCATTTACAGTCTTCCTTATTCATTGACCAGCTTTTTACATGTATACGAGGTGATTGAAAAGACCATGACTTGGATCAGGTGCACCTTAGTCCTCGAACTGGTATCTTTAAAAGAGGTCTTTTGCAGCAGACTTGTCCAGTGCCATATACGTCATTTGATGTCTTTACTGTTGCTTCCATGAGCATTGATTGTGGCACCAAATAAAATGCAATCCTTGACAACTTCAATATTTTCTATTTAACGTGATGTTGTCTATTGGTCCAGTGGTGAGGATTTTTGTTTTCTTGTAAAGAAAACTCAGTGTAACTGAGTTGTAATCCATACTGAAGGCTGTAGTCTTTGACCTTCATCAGCAAGTGTGTGGCTCAAGTAATTTGACTAGGCATTTTTATATTGTTGTTGTTGTTGTGATGTGCCGTCGAGTCGGTTCCAACCCATAGTGACCCTGTATAGGGTTTCCGAGGAGCAGCTGGTGAGCTTGAACTGCCAACCTTGCAGTTCAAATGGCTTTGCAGTCTGGTGCATTAACCCACAGCAACTCACCAGGACTCCAGGTATGTTTATAAAAAACATATCCAAATCTATGACATTATGTTTTTAACACCAAAAATTAAAAAACAAACAAACAAACATATGTTCAAAATGTAAAAAGATTTAAAGTTCCAGTTTTGTTGAACAATTTTGAGATTGTTTAATTCTACAGTTCATCTCTCCCTCAACACTTCAGAATATATGCAGTATGTGTGTGAATTTAAATACTTTTGACATAACGTTGGACACTAGAATACCATAAAATTTAGGTTTGGAATTCCATGGCTGGAATCAAGAATTTCAGTGCAATTGTTTAAGTGCTGTCAAGTCAGTTTTGACTTATAATGACCCTGGTTAGGGTTTCCAAGGAGCAGCTGGTGGGTTTTGAACTGCCAACCTTGTGGTTCGCAGTCCAGTGCTGAAGCCAAATCATCCCTCAGTAAGTGGAAGCTCATAGCCAGGTGGGCTAGTCTCTGTGGAGCCCATTCACTGAGTTAGCCCAATTTCAATATGGAAATCCTACAGCAGCTTCCTGGCCTGACCCTGAGCAGTTTTAGATGAAACCTTCTGTCTTCACATCCTTGTCGCACCAGGTACGAGGAAGAGTGTCACAACTGCTACAGTTACAGCCTCACCTTCATTAATTGCATCCTGAGTACAGAAGGCCAGGGGCAGATGGACAAGAGAGAGTTCACAGAGAAGTATGTGCTCCCAAGGACAAGGAAGGCCTCCAAGTACATCACACTCTACCGGGCCATCCAAGATCACGGCTTCTACGTGACTGAGCAGCCCCAGTGAGAGGCCAGTCCTCCTAAAGAAAGAGCTGGGGCGACAAGCTCAATAGGTACTACAGATTCCAAATGAATTAAAGCTCTGTGGTTAATAAACAAGTGTTACCTTTTCCTTTGAGCATATTTCAGCTTATTAGAAGACTTGGTGTTGTTAAGTGCTGTCGAGTCAGTTCAGACTGACCTGTATCGAGTTTCTGAGGAGTGGCTGGTGGTTTTGAACCACCACCTTGCAGTTCAAATCAATCTTGGGGTCCAGTGCTTATCCTACAGTGCCACACCAGGACTCCAGAACTCCTATGAGAAAGATAAGAATGCATAAAAATAATAAAAATTGCTCTCGGTTTTAATAATTGTATGTATTACATCTAAATTGTTTTCATGGCATTTAAAAATTGTGTTAAATTGATATGTAACAAAACCATTGCCATTTCAACATTCTTCACATGTGTAATTCATTGACGTTAATTCTGTGACAGTTGTGGTTTGAAACTCCATGTCACAGCATAAAGTGCCAGCACTTTTAATTCACAGGACAATGGAAACAGTTCTTATTCACTAATTCCAGCTGAACAAATTCACATTTCATCTATGTGAATCCAGAAAGTGAGGATCTGAAGATAGGAAGGTAAGCAGCGTCCTATACCTCATTGTCTTATTTACAAAGCACATGGCTCCCCTCTAAGACTGAAACTCAAAGGGCACACATGAGCAGCCATGTAAGCTGGTGACCACATTGGGCTGCTGGTGAGTGGAAGTTGGGGAAACACAGCAATGAACACTCCTGTTGACCTGGAGATGAGAGAGAGAAGAGGAAAGGCTGGTTGGTCTGAAGTGTGGTGAGATTTGGGGACTCACGAGCCCATGCACAAGGACACAGCCAAGGAGGGCTAGAGCTCTAAGTGAAGCGTCCAGCTGATATGTACGGAGGGGAGAAGCACAAAAACATCCAAATTTGCAGATAGTATCTGTTTGACCTGGCTTTGATGGCTTGATAATCAGAACTTGACTAGACGAAGATAAAGAAATTTGGTAAAGGTAACAAGTGTAAATTGCTACAATTTGATGAACTTGACCTATACTTATGGATGTTGTGTTGTTGTTGTGAAGTGCTGTTGAGTCAGTTCTGACCCATAGTGACCCTGTATAGGGTTTTTGAGGAGCAGCTCATCAGTTGTTGTTGTTGTTAAGTGTCATCGAGTCGGTTC